CATACGGGGTAGGAACACATACCCGAAATTTCAGCCTCCCAACTTTCCTGGTTACTGAGATGAAAGTGAGTGACAAAATGCACTCGCTTCTGAACACACACACACACACAGTCTCTCGACAATATGCGTTTTTGCTAGCTGTAGCAGTGCTATAGCGCCGCAGCGGTGCGGAGCAAAAACGCATAAATGACCGGGCTTCAGGCAAAAAACTGGTAATCATGTACCTGGATGTCCATGCGACTCTATAATGCACTACCTTCAGCCCAACCGACTCTTGCACACCGGAAGGGGCCAAAGAACAGCCAATGTCAGTCCAATTGGCTACAGCGCAAGGATCATCCCTGCTATTAGCAGCCTCGCAAGTTCAGTGCAAGAACTCATGACCGTACTGGCAAGTCTGGTGTGTTCCAGCCTGGGCTCTTTTTCTTCGCTTTTTGATGCGTCTTTTACCGCTATGTAATGCAGAAAACGCATACTGACGAGGGTTTGTCTGTGTCCGTGTGTCTGTGTGTGCGTCTGTCACGGTTTTTCATCTCAAAACCTACAAAAGCTACAGAGCTGGAACTTTGGGAAATTAATCTACATGCACATACGAGCTCCAATCCCCATAATGGGCGCTCTTACGCGCGTGGTACTCACGTATGGGCTCGTAAAAGTTTTTTTCGGGTAAGTCGCTAACTCCGGAATCTGAAAGGCTAGAAGACTGAAATTTTAAGGGAATGTTCCCCGTCCAAACAGGTATTATTGAGTTCAAATTCAGCCCTTGGGCATGCGTGTTCTCCACGCACGGGCCGTGAAGTCATTTTCGGATAAGTCGTTGACTTGGGAACCTGAAAAGTTAAAAGACTGTGATTTTAAGGGGGTGTTCCCAATCCACGTAGATATTAATGAGCTTAAACCTGGCCTTCGGGCATAAGTCATTCCCACGTATGGGCCTGTGAAAGTTTTTTTCGGGTAAATTGCTAACTAGGAAATCTGAGAAGCTAGAAGACTGGGACTTTTAAGGGATGTTTGCTTCTGCATGTTGACGAGAGGTTATCTGTGTGTGTGTCTGTGTGTGCGCAGGGCCTCTGTACGGATTTTTCATCTCGAAATCTACAAAAGCTGCACGACTGAAACTTTGGGAACTTAATCTACATGCAAGTACGGCCCCCCATCCCAAAATGGGCGGTCTTATCCGCGTGGTACTCACGTAAGAGTCCGCCAAACTTATTCACGGGTAAGTTGATAACTCGGGGATCTGAAAGGCTAGAAAGTTAAAATCTTAGGGAGATATTCCCCGTCCAAGTAGGTATTAATGAGCTCAAACACAGCCACCAGGTAAGTGTGGTACTTGCGTACGGGCCCGCAAAAATTTTTTTCGGGTAAGTTCATAACTCGGGGATCTGAGAGGCAAGAACGCTGAAATCTTAGGGGGATGTTCCCTGCCAAGCGGGTATTAAAGAGTTCAAACCCTGCTCGCGGGTAAGCGCGGTACCTACGTACGGGCCGTAGAAATTTCTCCTGGGGAAGTTGTTAACTCGGGAGCGTGAGAAGCTACAAGACTGAAGTTTTGAAGGAATGTTTCCTGACAGTCCTGGCGGCCAGTCTGAAATTCTTTTAGTTAGAAGCACCTGCCGGAAAAACCAGTGCCGTTAGAGACAAAAATCTGCGGGGAACTATGCAAAAATCGCATCTTCTCACGGACAGCCCGTGCGTTAGCCAATTATTTCTTTTTCTTTTTTTGCAATTCATAAGTTCCGACTCTTTGATTTTGCTTTTTTTTCGTTCTTATTCATTAGCTCAGGTTTGCTTCAGTTTACTTTTCTTTACAGCGCTGTGTTGTCTCTTTCTCCTTACTGCTGTATCTGGTTCTTGCGTCCAGTACCATTGTTCCCCTTTTTCCCTTCCCCAGTTCGAGCCTTCGGAGTGCCATCTGAACACCCATCACTCACGCTTTACCCACTATCCTCAACCCCATGTCATCCACGCACCGAGAGCTGGATAATGCATGAAAAAATCAGATTACAGGTAATATGTCAACAATACTTGGGGAACCCTACCGTGTGCTTGCTCGCTTCACACCAATTGGTGCCGACAAGCGACACCCAAAAATAGCGTTAGCAGAGAAACGAGAGCTTCTCTCAATGTTGGTCGAACCTTAGCGAGTTGTGTGCGGGGCAAGGTTCGGCTGTATTTTGCTGGCGGATCTGTTACGAGTCTGTTGTCGGTTGGTTTTAGCTTCTGCTGGTGTGAGGTGGCGGGGAGGATCAGTATCTTGCTGGGAGATGAAGGGGAATAAAGGCGGAAGAACTGACTTGGCGTGTTCCTCCCTTAGTTACTGGGCCGCTGCTCCGGCCCCTTTAGGTCCGTATTGCCTTTTGTAGTGATTAGATGCATGGACAGATCTGGGCGGTTTTTTGCGGGGAAGAGCGATTTGAGCGATTTTTCTCCCAGCCATCCCCCCCCCTCCCCGTCCCCGCTCCCTCTTGTCATCGCTGATAGCGGCAACGACCGGTGGAGAGGGGGGGG